TTGTTTATCGTGTCAAACGTCAAAGATGGGTGCTCACAACGAGGAACGGAAGTTGCTCACAACATTTTAACCGATGGACATTTTTCACTCGTTGTGAGTTAAACGGGCGTGTCTTGATGACATTTGGGCATATTAAAGTATCCTACGAGCAATAACTGCCGTATGCTTTATTAAAAATTGAAAAGCATTGACAGCCATCAGCCGAAGAATAAGTAAACAACCCAGCGTTCCTGAGTCAGCTTCCAAGTTTTCCATTTTCCTAGCTGTTTTTTTTTAATGTTTTCACATCTGTCAACACTTATTTTTTGTCTGTTACAATCCTCAAATATTTTTTTTTCTTTTAAAAAGGTGTATGACTAACAAATCCAAATGATATTCCTCTGAATCAAACACAATTATTTTCCTCCCGTGAAATAAACAACTTTAAAAAATGACTGCCGCTTACATTTAACAAAGCCAGGTCTAATATAAATTCGCAGTAAGTAACAGAAATTTGGATGGATGACTGCACTTTTTCTCCTACAAGAATTGTTTGTTTTTATTATTAAAACAAGCGAACATTCATAATTTTTTTAATAAAATGAATAATATCACCGTCATTTAACGTTGATTGCCGAACTTATTTTTTCAGCTCAAGACTTCTTGTATTTAATAAGAAATTCCGACTAAATGGGGCTCTCAATGGGGAAAACAGATTTTAATATTAACGTGAATATTATGGAAATTTCTTTTTAACTTGTTTTTAAGCATAAAATAAAAAGAAAATTTGTTTGTTTGTTGTGTAAGATGTAATTTTATTTCATCGAGTGGGCTTTAAAAACAGTATTCTCACGATATATCCTATATGTATGTTACAACATACGCTTAAATTTTATCATAATTTTCTATAAACGAAGAACACGTTAAATATATTTCATTGCACATATTTGAAAACAATGTTGAACATAAAAGATTTAAAGCTTACAAAGTTAATGCATAAGTTCTTTTTTTATATAAATATGGTCCAAAATTAGTCCTACATAAGTGCCTTTTCATATACATGTATCCTGATATAACTGATATGTGTCCATGTTTGTAAGTGATTGATAATATTTGAAGAAAGGAATACTCATCCTCTCATCCTTCCAAATATAGAAAGTATTTTTATGTTTATTCTGCAATTAACTGCACAGTTTTATGACATCATAATTGATTGTTATGAGAATAGATAAAGAATTCGATAACTACTTGATCTAATATGTTTAAGATCGCGACTTACAGATTTAAGTATAAACTTATATATAGAGAATAACAGGTTACTGTCTTTTGAGAAAGGGTGTCTCAGACGAGGTTAGATATGGTCCTGGAAGGGGCGAGGCTTGCCGAGCCCCTTCCGGACCATATCTAGCCGAGTCTGAGAAATCCCTTTCTCAAAAGACAGTAACCTGTTATTCTTTTTATCATGCCTCTATTATGATTTTGCATCTTAGTTTTTTAATTCGGGGCGCTAATTTCTGAAAGTATGGTAACCACAAGAGGGTTATACGCCAAAAAAGTAGTCCGAGGGTTTTTACCAATAATTTTATAACACAACACAATTTTTGGTACAATTTGCTTTAACAATTTATTTACTGTGTTACTGTGTATTATCATAAATATTCAGCAAAGTCAATTAAACAATACCAACAGTAAACATCATCAGTGCTGATCTGGCGTAGGAACATAGTGTTCTCAAGTCACTGACTGAGAAAGGTTGCTGTTCTCAGACAGGCTTTATCAGGCAGTTGTCATAGTAATGGCATGATAAATTTATTACTCTGATTAGATTGAATCAATAAGTACTATGATGTCAATTAGGCCTAAATGCGCTATAATTTTCCTTTTTTTAAGTAAAAAGTAACCTATTGATCATTCACACGAGCTATCTTTTTTAGCGTTTTGGCAATAAGTACTGTTACAGTGATTTAATCTTTTGTAAGTCAAAGTACCAGTTTCTTAATATTTTGCTATCTTTACCACAAATTGTTTCAATTCAGCGCTATTAAGCAATTCACATTATTACAATATGATGAAACTAATTTTTTTTGCCCATTCTACCCTTTTTGCATTAATTTCCAAACAACTGCACTATCATTTACCAGAAAGAAGATGTTCAAACATTTCTATTTTACTGAAAATAATGAAAATAACCAAATGACGTTCATGTGAAAGTGTGTGTTTGAACTCTTGTTGTATAGATATGCCAAAATGATATACATGTACATGTAAATTTTTTGTTGCTGCTTTTATTTCTAAATAATCTTATGATAATTGTGGAAACATTGAAATGTCACATTAGACATGATTACTGAAAATTGATTTTTTAAAAAAATATTTTTTTAAAAATTTCCCTACCTTATCAAAATACGTTTGTTTTGAAAAATCACAGGCACTATCTTCATCTGATTACAACTGATTTCATCTAAAAATAGCTTTCATTTCATCTTCAAGTTGAAACTTCTCGGCCATTAATAATCATTTATTTTTTAAATTGATTCATTCACTTAGCAGTAATTAAATTGCCCGCGGATGATTATACATACACGATATTCTGAGGATATGTCTGTCTCTAAATTTATCCTAACTCGCCCAACGCCTACATCTTTATTCCGTTTTCTGGCTCGACTGTTATAATTATTTATTTAAGTTGTTGAGCTCACCGGACGTCGGCGTTACAATTGTGGATAAGTCGTGTGCGGGGGTCACCTTTTCTATACCTTTTGAGATATGCTTTGACACTCAGCAAGAGGACATAGATCTGTCTAAAACAAATTGACGGACCTTTTTATTTTATTCGAATCATGGTAAAGTAATAACCATCATCACCAGTTCCAGTTAAGAGAAATTACTCTGTCAGATTTTGACATAATTTCGTCTTTTCTGTTTCTTTCCAACATAAATTTATACCTTTTAAAAAGTACTGTCGTTTTACCACTTTCAAATGTAGATTTTAAGACCATTTATATTGTCCTATTAAGTGGAGCTTTTAGACCCTGTTCATATTCCACTATCAAGTATCAATAGCAGTCGAGCGCGCTGTCTTATGTAATCTCTTATTAGATTATTTGTCTAGAAATTTGATGATTTTGTATTTTCTGAAACAGAATATCAGAGTTTCCTTTTTACATTTAAATTAATTTAGGAATTATTTGCGTATCTTAAGAAGCCGGTAATATTCTATTCTAGAGATCGACTGAGGTTTTCTTATTCAAGATAACGTAATTTGTCCTGGGGACAAAGAATATTAGATTTCGGAACGATATAAATATGATAAAAATGAATGTTTCAATCTATTTTAAGAAACAAACCTCCAAATTCATACTAATCTTTACGACTATTCACAAATCCAGAACAAAAGTTAGTCTAATGTAAGGAATTTTAAATAAATGGCATAAAATGTGAAAAATTATGATTCAAATTGACATTTCCCCGTAAGTAATGGAAAGGAATTTGGTGATACAGCTATAGTTTAAGCACATTCTGTGAGACAAATATATTTTGATTGTTGCTTGGAGGTGTTGCTGTACAGATGTTAAAAAATTAGAAATATTTACTTTGGGAAGAAATAATATTGTTTCTGCAAAGTCATTTCACTATAAATGACCACTTTTCAGAGGTTATATTGTAGTTAATATAATTTTATTTTTCATTATAGCTTGTACAGTGTTATATTAAATGTGATTATTCATACATTCCTTAATCTCTTTTAATTCATTTAAAGATTTTCTTAAATCTTTGTAAAACTGATCTTGATCCTTGCGGCTTGAAATAAGATACATATTTTTCAAGTTTGAAGAAGATAGCAACACAAGTTGCTATTTTAATCTCATTTTTATCATAAGAAAATAAGAAAGAAGAGCTCTTGCCGCGACTTACTCGGCGGCAGCAACGTCTGCTTTGATGAACTCTTTTGGTTAAGTTTTTGTTTATGATCATAAACGTCAATAAATGTACTATGCATTGAAATTTATCTATGGATTGGACCTCCCACTACTGTTTTCATGTCAAAGGTCAAGATAACTTTGATCTACAATAACTAAACATAAAACTGACCAGTTAATCAATTATCGATGAACTTGGTTCATAGATGCAGCTTAATGAGTCCTAACCTCCATATTCATGTTTAATCACAATATCAAAGGCAATGTGACAATGACCTTTATTTGTGTTTTTGTTTACGGCCAATAACCTTAATAACCGATAAAGTCAACCTGACGTTTAATCTAAATTTTCTCTTTAATCAAAACATGTGCAAGCAAGTGACACGGTTATATCTAAATACCATAACTTGGTGATGGAACTCTTTTATTAACACACCTGATAACATATTTCCTTCCAATAATGGCCATCAAAGTCATTCTTAAAGATGAACAATGCAATAAATTAAATGTAAAACAAAAACATAGACAGATACATATTTCACATGTTTATGATAAAGTAACTAGTAATATAAAGGAACGAACGAATTGTAACACTTGTAAAATTACATGCAAAGGCATGAAGTCATGTGATGATTAAACAATTAGGTAGAATGTTTGAGTAGGCTAGTGTACTCTTAATTGCTATACCTGTAATTATGAATTTGTATTTTTAAAATTTGCATAATATATCATAACTTTTTAATATGTTATATTTTCAAATCAATAGATTGTTTTAGAGCGCCGACTTGAAATTATTTGCCCCTCACGGTTGAAGATTCGAATTCCATCAAGATCTTTGGTTTCTTTCATGAGAGAAAGTTACCCATCAAGCTTCAGATGGTCAGTGGTTCTTTGCAGGCGCTCGCTCGTAAATGAGCTATGAACGAAGGGACCCTCAGATCTTCATCAAATATAATAGTGTCCGCGTAACTTAATACAAAATGACTATTTATATATGTAGGAATTATATAAAAATGTAGTTGCATATGTTTACATAGATTGCAAAACGTTTGTTTAGTACCTGAACGTGACATGAATTCTCACATTGCAAATCTAATGTTTTGCCACATATATAATGATGACCCGTACAAACCGTTCCACTATGTCAAAGATCGTACTTACGAACGGTATGGGGGAAGAAACATAGGTATAAGTCTAAATATTGTTGTAAACAAATAGCGTTTTTTGTGACTATCACATAAAAGAGATGACGTCTAATCCGGATCTTATGGAGACTTCCGAAAGAAAACCTCTTTTATCAGAATCTTTACGGGTAGCTCGGATTCAGCCTTCAAAATGGCGTCAATGCTTGGTTCTCATAGCATGCATGTATTTACACTTCATGTCACTCGGATTTGTCCCAGTTCTTGGAGTAATATACGTGGAACTTATACGTCAATTTAACTCTGCGCGATCAGTAACAGCTGTCATGCAAAGTATGTTCCAAGGACTCACTTACGTCGGAGGGATTTTGTTTTCAGGCATTGTCACGAAAAAAGGTGTAGGCCCACCTGTTATGATTGCATCGGCGTTAGGTGGTCTGGCATTGTTTTTCAGCGCATTCTCCGTGAATATCTATATGGTTATTGTTCTTGTGGGATTTGTTGGAGGGATGGCCATGAGTATTAACTACTTATGTGCATTCGTTGCAGTAGGTTGGATGTTTGTTTCAAACAGACGTTCTGCTCTTGCTTTCCTTACAATGGCAACTGCTGTTGGACAAACATTACTCCCTAATCTTGCAAACTATTTGATAAACGTATATGGATGGACAGGAACATTTATGGTATCCGGCGGGCTTGTCCTCAATAGTATTCCCTGTGGTCTACTTTTACATTTTTCACAAGATTTTTTCTTTAAAGAAACAAACCAAAATGTAAATAGAGATTCGGTTAAGGAGAAGATGTGTCAATGTAATTCAGTACAAGATGTTACTTATGCAATACTTATATTAGTGTCTTTTATATTTCCGGGAACAAATGCCGTAGAGAGTTGGTTACAGTGGATATGAGTGAACTTAGAGGATTAGACCGTCAACAAGGAAACTATTTTGTTATCACTAGTCGGCGCCTTCGGATTGTGCGGAAGATTGCTTGGAACTATTTTACTGAAAGTTTGGACGAAAGTTAGGATAGCAATACCTTTGGCGTTATCTTTTCGTGTTTCTTGCACTTGGACATTTTCTCGTAGTTTACCTTTTAGACTTCTACGGGATGTTAGGTGGAATATTTGTTCGTGGAATTTCTATTGGAATGGTTTGGTGCTTGTTACCAGGGATGCAGCTTGAACTACGTGGTATTAAAAGGTTCCCTCGAACTGTAGCGATATGTAACGTGGTGAGTGGAGTTGGGTTAGTTGTCTGTGGATATTTTGGTGGATTGATTGCTGACTGGACTGGTGGATATGATTTAGCGTTTTATATCGCCATTGGGGTAGCATTACTATGTGGAGTGTTGATGGCGATTATTAAGTGTTTACAGAAACTTGAATAGATGTACGAAGTCCAGTATTGATTTTTAATAAACAAGCAGCATATGTTTGAAGGACGTAAATTTATCATGTATTTCCGTTGTGGTCCTCAAAAATGATAATGTTAATCAAAATAGTAATGTCACGTTTATTGTGATAAAATTTGTCCAAAATCTTAAGATATGATTATTATTTAATAAACCGTGATTATGACAATGAATTCATTAATCTGGCCCATTTAAAAGCGAAGCGAGATATTGAAAATGGCGTTGTTCATGCGTCCTTACGGATCAATATCTCAAATGTTCAAATTTTATCAAACCTTTGCATAAAAGTATATTTATACTAAAATGAGGTTCACCAAGTGCAAGAAAAAATCATTCAATCTTTGATTTAAGAGTTATGGCCCTTCGTTTTGGAAAATTTGCATTTTCGAGTTTTATTTTATATCAAGTTTGTTTGATTGTCCTGAAACTAAATATGAATATATTCAATACTAAGAATCTGATTCAAATGCTATTTAGATCTGTTTGTGTGACAAGTTAATGATATGTTGAAAAAAGTCATTTTAAAGAGAAAATCATTTCAATACTTACTTCAATGTGTGACAAAACATGGGTATGATTCTTGAAAAAGTTGCTACAACAAACGAGTAAAGAAAGGTCTTTATCATAACAAAACACAAAACATGTAAGACTTACACAATTTTGCATTAAACATTGATATTGTGATCATAAATGGAAATAATACAGCCATTCGAAACATAAAATAATTCATTTGTGATCTGCGTCACTTTTTTTATTCAAATTAGTTATGCCTTAAAGATCCTGTAACACAATTTTTTCATTTTTTTTTCCATAAATATGATGCTCAAATTAAGATTTGTCAATATTGTAAGTTCCTATAAGCATTATTTATAAAGATATTACCCAATTTAACAGTTTATGTAAATAAAGGGAGGTAATTAGAAATTTATTTTCTATACATTCTAAGTCAAATTTTTTCAAGAAGAAATGAATGCATGTAATTCATTGATTAAATATAATGTGCACAAATATTTGCAGTACACATTTTACATATTCTTCGATGTTTGAAAATTGTTTTATTTGCATAATTATATACATATATAATTGTTTTGCAAGTGTGGTCGCTGACTTGAGATCACAGGTCCCTCACCGCTGTAGGTTCGATCCTCACTCGGGTCGAAATCTTTCATGTGAGAAAGCCACCCAGTTGGCTTACGGAAGGTCGGTGGTTCTACCCAGGTGCCCGCTCGTGTCTGAAATACTGCCCGGATGGGCACCTGGGGTCTTCCTCCACCAATAAAAGCTGGAAAAAAATCGACAAAAAAATCTCGGCGGGACGCTCTAGGATGGCCCGACTTGAGTGTACGGTCGCCCATATGGGCTTTTTTTCCGGCGGCGACCTTAAATAAACGCATTAAAAAAGGTATACACACAGTTACTGACCATCTCACTTCCCCTCGGAGCGTGCACGGCGCTGAGAGGGCATCGGCAGAAGATTTACAGCTTGGCTGGTAGTAAACTTAAAATGAAGCCACCGTGGACCGCTACTTCGTCAACAACTGCGGACTAGCTGCCGGTGTCCTGACTAATGCCGAGGGGAGTGGCCCTACAAAGCAGGCCCTTGGGTCGACGAGAATGGTGTGCTTAAGTGCGTGAGCCCTTAGCACGGTTAGACGGCTTGAATGGCAGGCCTTTTGCTGGCACAAACAGCCCTTGTCAGGGCTTACCTTTCATATTGTCACAGGTTACTGTACATTTAGGTTCTCATTGACCGCCGTACATTGACCTACTTTTGGCTCAAAATTCATATATTTGGCTAATACTCTGGAGGTAAATTATCACCACTTTTGTGCTTCAAAATTAACTCTTTAAGGGCATGACTGGTAACATGTCCGGGGTCCGTACTCGACAGCGAAAGCTGCATTTTGTGCCGTTGCGGGCGGATGGACCCTCATTAAACATAGACTATAGATAGATAGTATACACACAGTAACAATATCAATCACAAAACATACAGGATCTTTAATTATTTTAGAAAAGACGGAATTTATCAAATTTTATGTACATTTACAAATTAGTTAATATTAATTATATCAATGTACTTTAAAAAAAGTTATCAATGTATATTTACAAATTAATTGATATAGGGATGTCGTAAATGTACATTTACGAATTAATTCAAAGGGTTATTGTCAATGCACATTCGCAAAATAATACAACTGAAATATAGTACATTCACAAATAAATTAACAAAGTCTCAACATTTGCGTATCATTTGAATTCATTTCGTAATATTGAATCTCATGAACAAACTTACCGAGAAGTGTAATCGAAACGCTGTTGATTTTATTTATCTGAGATACCTTTAAATATTTCTGGTATTATATATAGTAATTATAATTGACTAATGCCCTGTTTCGCAATAGTACAAGTCGTTTATTGTAGGAAAATATTGTAGGAAGAAAAACGAGAGAGGATGGGGTCTAATCAACAAGAAACAGATGGCTGCTTTAAAATGAAAACACTTACGAATGCATAAACAATTTTCAAAAACATGAACAGAAACAGACATTCAAAGATTGATGTCGGAACTTTTCTATTGTTAATGAAAATATTCAAACGGCGTTGGTTTTTGTTAAACATTTATACTAAAGAATAATGTTTTCGTACTATATTCTTCCTTTGAAATAATAAGCTAATCAAAGTGTGCAGCAGTTATTGAAAGATGTTTACAGCATGTTGGACTTTCGGTACGGTATGAAAAATATTTGGATACAAAGGCAAGGGAAATGATTATGGTGGTATTTGTTGCACACTCCAATAGAAGCAGATGGTTAGTTTGCAAGTGGAACATTCTTGAACAAGCTATCGAAGTGCTGCAAAGTCAAACTATGATATCATATATGTGAACTTTTAGCACTAATACTAAGGTATGTGACCTTAACACTTGTGTTTTAATTAAAGTTTTATATGACGATGGAGAGAGAGAGAGAGAGAGAGAGAGAGAGAGAGAGAGAGAGAGAGAGAGAGAGAGAGAGAGGGAGAGAGAGAGAGAGAGAGAGAGAGGAGGGAATTAGTATTTTGGTCCTAGTTCTGGTCATTGAAAGATAAAACAGATTAAAACGGAAAACAGATTTTTATGACGTTACGTTTTCGCCGTATAAATCAGTGACATTTAGCATCTTTGTATGTCAAAAACCACCTCAATGATAGTGTATGATAATATAACTAGGTAAAGCTTGTTTTAACTTGCGGAACTCATCGACAAATATTCTTCGAAAATTCTTAATAATCTCTGACTTTATACTGTTAGAAAATAGTTCTACCGTGTGGTTTCAGATGTACATGTAAACAAACGCGGAGTGTAATCTTTGTATAGTGTATAACGAATATAAATTTGATACCCAAAAGAAAATAAATTATTTTTTTCGGTAAAAATATGTCTGTCAATCATAATCAATTTCAAAACGCCCATAGATGTACAATTATAACTAAATACGAAGTTTATTGTTGCTTTAAAAGGCTTTGTAATCTATATAATCAAGGGAGAATACATAACAGCCGCATATACAAGTAGTCCTTAACCAGTGTTTATTGGCAGTTTAACACCGGTTTTTCTTCTTCTTTGTCTATAGTGACAAAATCACGAGGAGTGTTAGAATATTTATTAACATGTTTAGTTTCTAAGCTAAGGTTAGACTTAAATACTGTATCCGTTCTGTGTTTTCATACTATTGTGCTCGAGGTCCTTATCCGAAGACTTATTGACACTTTTTTTTAACTTATGGGATTGTTTGCTATTTTATATGGCGAAGCGACATTTTCCGTGACATTGAATCTAATAGTCATTTTTTTTTATCTCCCCGCTTGTTTAGAAATCATGTGATAAGTAGTCGGTCATTTGCGGAGAAATTGATGATGGCTGCATATTATTTATCCAGGAAAGCCGACTAGCAGGTCCGACCGGAAAGATATGACTTAAAAGTGTGTTAAAATGGGCGTAAAGAAGACAAATCTGTTTTTGTGTGTATTCATAGGAAGTAGTCCTTAGATAGTTCTACCGAGACTAAAGGGTACAAGGGAGAATGACATGAAAATTCATCCGCAACTTAATGTATACTCTGCGGTTTGACCTTTTATATTCGATCTTGTAACTAAATGAATTCGTGATACGAGTAGAGTACTTACTTTTTTTTATAAAGTAAAACTTTGCCACCAACAGTGATACATACTTTGGTTTCGGCAAATTATACTTTCATGAACCGCAAAGGTGAGAATTAATGTTTCTCAAGTAACCACAGACAATATCCGACAAAATTGATTCCTGTATTTACAGACATTCCCAGACTTTATTGGGTTGCTTGGTACGAGTAGAAAAGATGTAAACTGAAGCAAACTGGCACTTAATATGTGGTTACAACTATATACTTCACAGGTGAATCACAAAATGTTAGGTTTCTCTAAATGTTGACTTACGCTCCAGGATTATCAGAAAAAGTTAAGTTGTTTTCAAATATTTAATATTTCACGAAGTATTTTTTTTATAGAATTCAACGAATATGAAGCTCTTACCATTCATAAAGATTTTTTTTATCTTTTTTGTTATCAAAATTCATTTACATGAAAAGTAAAGAGCATTGGCTCGGAACACTGAAAGAGAAAGAAACAGACAGACAATTTAACCCCCCCCCCCCCCCCCCCAAAAAAAAAAAAACAACCGCCAAATTGAAAATGTTGCAGGCTCGGTTTGATTGTGAATGTTCATGGACGGCAGTGGTATTTGCAAGCTACTATCAACGTAACCTAGCACAGGTTTTAGCAGGACTAAACATTTAAACAACTGTGAAATTATGAATTTAGAAACATTTGCAGATGTATTCATACGGCTGTTATCATGGAACGTTCAATGTGACACTTTCTTGCCATTCCATGAAAAGCAGGGTATGATCCCCCAAAATAAGAATGCATGTGTGCTTAACGAGAAAAAAGAATGGGCGGAAATAAATACAATGGAATTTTGAAAGGGGGTCAGATCTTACGAAGCCTGC